GCAATTTTCCTGTTTTTTTCCCCCCGTTCATTCTTTTCCCTCTCCTTCTCATTTTCCTGATTTTCCGCTTTTCTCCCCTTTTCCCGCTCACATTTTTCCTGTTTTTTTTTCCCCCGGCTGCGCTGGTTTGCCGGCGCTTTGTGGGAGATGGGGACTGGGAGCAGCTGCCTCAGGGCATCCCATCGATCCTGGGGATTACTGGGGTCACTCGGTGAGAATTTGGGGGTCCCAGCCACAGGTCAGGGGCCTCCAGTCCCAGCCCGGCTCAAGGACAGATTAAAGCGTTCATTGCTTTGCTCGAACAGGTCTGGGCTCCCTCTCTGGGGTGCCGACGTGTCCCCAGGTGTCGGTGACAGCCCGAGGGGCGGTGACAGCAGCCCTGCTGGCCTGTGCCACACCTCCCGTGCCAGCCCCGTGCCCTCGTGGCTCCGGCAGCAGCTCCAACAGGTCTTTCCAGTCCCGGAGCCTCCGGGAGCTGCCATCGGCGGGCGGCACCCGGGGACAAGGAAAATCCGCCGCCTCGCCTTGTTTGGCTTTCACTTTGTCACTGGGAGCTGGAATTAATCACCGGGCAGCGGTCGGTGCCGGAGGAAGGGTCGCTGTCACGCCAGGCTGTGCCACCCGGGGCCGGGCATCGCCGGGAGGAGCAGCCCCGGAGCCGGTGGGGCTRAAGGTAAAGGGCGTTTTGGGGGTCCCGAACGGGGCGGGTGGGTGCTGATCCCACTGCTGGTGCAGCAGGGAGGCGTGGAATGGCAGGAGCTGATGAATTTGGTGTAGTTTGGAAACTTGGTGGCATTTTTTTTGAGCAGGGTGAGCCCGAGGGTGAGTGATCGCAGAGCGGCTCCCATGAGATCCCAAATTCTGACATCTCCGCTCTCCCCCTCGGGAGCTGCTGTGACACTTCCATCCCCCGAATTGTCCCTCCACTGCCCGGCTCCTGCTTCCACAGATGGCTGCAGTGACAATTGCTGCCTCCAAAGATGATATTTATAAACTCCTCGTTGGGCATGTGGTGGAGTTTTGCACAAACAGAGAGCTGGGAGCCGCTGCTGGAGCTGGGAGGGAAATAACATCACACAAGGAGCTCGCAGAGAGAGCAGGGGGCTGGCCAGGGAAACAGCTTGGGAGGGTAAAATCAGAGAATCGTGGGCTGGTTTGGTTTAGAAGGGACCTTTAGGATCATCTCGTTCCACCCCCCAGCTGGAAATGAGTTTAATTTGGGTAGATTTGGTGTGTGGAAAGGAATAAAAATTTAGGGGTTACTTGCTCTGGCATTCCACCCCATTCCATCCCAACCAGTTTTATCCCATCTGATCCCACTGGAAGGGGCACACCCCATCCTAGAGAGCTGCAGGATCACGAGCTGAAGTTGCTTTCCATGCCTGGAGTTGGTTTAATCTCTCTCATCCTCTGCTTGGTTATGTTGCTCATGAATTTGGAAGATCTTCACACAAACCACTTAGGGATGGGATTCCCTGGGGGTGGAGCAATTCCCTGTCTGGAAATACAGCGATTCTTTGGTCATCCCTGTCCCTATCCCTGTCCCTGTCCCTGTCCCTGTCCCTGTCCCTGTCCCTGTCCCTGTCCCTGTCCCTGTCCCTTGCTGCTGGCCAGGATCATCGATGCCGAATCTCCGGGATGCACAGCTGGGTTGCAGAGGGTGCTGCTCCTTTTGTGGAGGCTGCTGGGGATCTGTGGGGTGGCGAAGCGTTGATTTGCGTTGTCATTCCCGGTGATTCCCGCTGTTTTGCCGTGTCCTGCCATCCCTGGCAGGGATGGCAATGTCCCTGCCACTGTGACGCTGTGACAACAGAACACGGAGCTGTCCCTCCCCGCCGCAACCTTCGCCCTCCCGGCAGCCCCAGGCCGCTCCTCGCCCATCCCGCTGCCTGGAACGGGCGGGAGGGAGGAAATCCAACCTCCTTCCTCCTTCCTGCTGCCCCCACGGGCCGCTTTCCGTGCTCCAAGGGCTGCTTTGCCATGGATTGGATCCCTCTGGRGCTCTTCCCCGGGTCCGTGCGGTACAAATCCCTGAGGATGTTCCTGTGCTGAGTTTGATGGATCCAAACACGAGCCAGGGTTATTTGGAGGGGGAGCAGAGAGAAAGGAGCCCCGTTCCTGGCCAGCCTGGCCACCTATGCCTTTATAAACAGGCTCGGTTTTCCTTTTAGGAAAGATAAAACAGGTTTCCTTTTCCGTGGCACGACTTCCCTGCGGATTCCAGGGAGACTGAGGGTAATTATAACACTTTCATCCTCCTGGCTGCCGCCTGYCTGCCTGGCTGAGCTGCTCTGACACGTGTGGTGGCAGATGTTTGCTAACCGAGAGGACCCCGGGGACGCTCGGGAAGGGATTTTTTCCTCCCTGAAGGAATGAGCATCACGGAGGCGTGTGGCTGTGAGAGCCTGTGGCAAAYCCCGTGTTCCTCCTGGTGTGGGATCTGTCTGTGGGATGGCATCGGGAAGGGCAGAGCATCCCCAGCTCCGAGCTGTGGTGGGGAATGGGGCTCTGGCATCTTCTGTGGGAATAACACACCAAATTAACGTAGTTTTGGGGTTGTTTCATAGCCTGGATCCCAGCTGGGATTYATGGGGGAAGCTGGAGGTCAGAGCAGGGTCTGGATAAGGTGGAGGAAACTGTTTTAAACCAGAAATCCCAGCCAAGGAGAGCTCCTGGCTGTGCCACGCCGGCCTGGGGAGAGGTTTTTCCAAACTGGTGACACCCAGGGGACGTGGAACTGGGAGTGCAGGTCCATCCCTGTCCCCAAACACCCCAAWACACRAGGAGAAGGAAGCTCWGGTGGYTTCTGCATCAGAACTTCAAGGAACCGTGAGGATTTCCCCAAGTGTCGAGCAAACAGGGGCGTTCAGCATGGGAGGGTCCAACTTAATGCCATCAGCAAGATTGGATTAGGAGGGATTTGCAGAGGGCCAGTCTGGAAGAGCGGCTTATTTAGGTTTTCAGCAGCTGTGTCACAACCCATCCGTGGTGTGGCAACGCTCGCTTGCGTTGTGTTGGGTGTTGGGTTGGAGGGCACAGGGAGCTGCCAGGGGCTGGGCACGGGGTTCTGGGCTGGGAGAGGGCTCTGGAGCACAGATCAGCACCAGGAACCAGATCTTTCAGCCCCTGAGGTGGTGGAGGGTGAGTATCCTTTGGGGATGGGGTGGTTTCCTATTGTGGGTTTTTTTTTATGCAAATTAATCCATCTTTGTGCAGGTGACTCGGGGGTGTCCAAGCCTTTTGTCACCTCTGTCCCTTTCCAGAGCTTTGGCTCTGGTGGCACAGCCATGGGAACAGCCTGGCCTTGTGGTGTTACAGGACCTTGGATTTGGGGTTTTTATCGAAGTTTTTATCGCGTTTCTCCCTGCTCCTCACAGCAGGATTTTATATCGCAGTGGGAAGCAGAGGGGCAGATCCTGTGTGACCAGGACCCAAAGGAATGGCTGGAACTGTGTCAGGAGAGGTTTGGGATGGATCTCAGGGAAAGGTTCTTCTGTCCCCAGAGGGTGCTGAGCACTGCCCAGGCTCCCCAGGGAATGGTCCAGGAGCTGCAGGAGGTGTCCTGTTTGGGATGCACAGGGTGGGATTGTTGGACTGTGCAGGGCCACACAGGGACTGGATGATCCTTGTGGGTCCCTTCCAACTCGGGATATCCTGTGATTCTGGGATTCTTCTGCCATCCAACCCCCGGCTGGATCTGCCAGCTCCTCCCCTGACCCTCCTGCCCAGCCCCGCTGTTCAGGGAAGCAAAAAATTACCCAATATTTCGGGAACTTGCACAAAAGCTTTGCTTCCCCTCGCAGCTGCTGGGGAGGTGGGGATGTCACCCTGTGCTCAGCACCCATCCTGCCTCCCCTATCGATGTCACCCTGTCCCCAGCACCCATCCTGCCTCCTCTATCGATGTCACCCTGTCCTTTGCACCCATCCTGCCTCCCCTGTGGATGTCACCCTGTCCTCAGCATCCACCCTGCCTCCTCTGAGAGATGTCACCCTGTCCTCAGCACCCATTCTGCCTTCACAGGGGATGTCACCCTGTCCCCAGCACCCACCCTGCCTCCCCTATCGATGTCACCCTGTCCCCAGCACCCACCCTGCCTCCCTTATCGATGTCACCCTGTCCTCAGCACCCATCCTGCCTCCCCTGTGGATGTCACCCTGTCCTCAGCACCCATCCTGCCTCCCCTATCAATGTCACCCTGTCCTCAGCACCCACCCTGCCTCCCCTGTGGATGTCACCCTGTCCTCTGCACCCATCCTGCCTCCCTGTGGGATGTCACCCTGTCCTCAGCACCCATCCTGCCTCACCTGTGGGATGTCACTCTGTCCTCTGCACCCACCCTGCCTCCCCTGTGGATGTCACCCTGTCCTCAGCACCCATCCTGCCTCCCCTGTGGATGTCACCCTGTCCTCAGCACCCATCCTGCCTCCCCTGTGGATGTCACCCTGTCCCCAGCACCCATCCTGCCTCCCCTGTGGATGTCACCCTGTCCTCAGCACCCATCCTGCCTCACCTGTGGGATGTCACCCTGTCCTCAGCACCCATCCTGCCTCACCTGTGGGATGTCACTCTGTCCTCTGCACCCACCCTGCCTCCCCTATCGATGTCACTCTGTCCCCAGCACCCATCCTGCCTCCCCTGTGGATGTCACCCTGTCCTCAGCACCCATCCTGCCTCCTCTATCGATGTCACCCTGTCCTCAGCACCCACCCTGCCCACTCTGAGAGATGTCACTCTGTCCTCTGCACCCATCCTGCCTCCCCTATCGATGTCACCCTGTCCTCAGCACCCACCCTGCCACCCTTATCGATGTCACCCTGTCCTCAGCACCCATCCTGCCTCCCCTGTGGATGTCACCCTGTCCTCAGCACCCATCCTGCCTCCCCTGTGCCCCCCTTCTGCTGCTGGAATCCACCCTGGCGGATGCAAACACAGCTTCTGCTGCTGGAGCTGTGCTGGGATGGGATGGAAAAGGGAAAATAGGGCACTGATGGTGTGTGACAGCCACAGCCACCCCCGGAGCCTTTGTCTGAGGAGAGGGAACGCGGGAGGATCGTTCACGTCACGGGCAGTTCCCCTGTGCCAGCGCTGCAGCTGCGGCCCCGGTGCCAGCGGGGTCAGGGATGGCCCTGGAGGGAGAAGAACGGTGTGGGGTGACAATGGGGGTGATGGGAGATGGTTCACTCCCCCAAAAAGGTGTTTTTGGGGGCACCATAGAGAAATTTCCACCTGGGAAGCCTCGGATGTYTCATATCGGTGCAGGGTGTTAATAACCCAACCTGACCCGTAGTCCTTGGCTGCTGCCAGCCGTGGCAGTCACAGGATGGATGCTCTCCCAGGAACTGGTGAACAGCCTGGATAAGGTGGTTCACCTGGTTAAGGTGAAGAATTCCTGGGGAAGGCTGCGAGCTGGGCTGGAGGAGGAAAAAATCTTCACAGAGCCATGGAATGGTTTGGGATGGAAGGGACCTCAAAGCTCATCCAGTTCCACCCCTGTCACGGGCAGGGACACTTTTCACTGCCCCAGGGTGCTCCAAGCCCTGTCCAGCCTGGCCTTGGACATTTCCAGGTGCCAGGAACATGTGTTCTCCCACGTTTCCATCTCCCRTGCTCCAAACCCTGCCTCAGCAGCAGAAAAACCAGATAAAAACAATCAAACAAACACCAGGCATC